ACACCTGTTATGCAGACAAAAACGTAAGGCTGTGATTATTTCGGAAATGAAAATCAGTTATTTTTTTGTTTTATTGTTATTTTTTTCGTATTTTCTGGAGAGATCTTCCGAGTCGGACCTAAATTGATGACTCTCGCGCTTTTTTTTCAAGTTTATTCTAGTTTTTGGTGTGCAAGGTTACATAGTGACGTGAAAGGTTTTGTTGATTTATGCCATGAAATGCATACGAATGAGCACATGCAGGAACGTCAGAAAGGCTTTGCAGCGTTGTACCTTTACAAAATCTCATGTTCATTGGATAGATGACGCAAGAATTCAAGGTAATGCCTAAATGAATGAAATGTGTTTGCTAGATTTTCAGGAATTACTAATTTTTAAGTAAGGGGACCTGCAGTTTTTCGAATTTTTAAATTTTCTAGCAATGAATAGATGCAAAACTAGCTGAATACCATTTTCATTCGTAAGCGCTCCGAATTTTAGTTTGAAAAGACTTGAGGTTGATGAATTTAATGCTTTGATGGAATTTTAGCACGGCAAAAAGTCGCGTACGTTTGACAACTCCTGAACGCTGGGAATTAAGGCAGATGCAAGGAGGAGGTGCTATCACAAATGCTGATTTGCCGGATTTCGATGAAGAACTTGGCCTTCTCAAAAATTTTGATGGTAATAATTTTTAAGAGGGAACGGGTTGAGGGCATTTTCTTAAATGAAATGTTTTTTAACGTTTGATTTGATATAATACAGTGGATTTGTGGTTTTCAGAAGAAAGTGATGGTGAAGATATAGAAATTGAAATCGTCGAAGAGGAGCCTGAGTTTCTACGTGGTTACGGAAAGTGTATGATGGATTTAGAACCAGTTAAAGTTGTAAAGAACCCAGATGGAAGCTTGGCACAAGCAGCTCTGATGCAGGTTTGTTGTTATTCGTTATTACCAGTCATAGTGGGAAGGCTCCCGATATTCCTGATGTTCCGAGTCGATCGGGGAGGGTTATTACAAACACCGAGAGACTTGACTTCCGGTGGAGTTTATGCCCAGCTAGGAATCGCATAATCAAGTAGTCAAACAATCAAACAGCTGGAAGTTGTATGATTTTGCTGTAGGAAAACTGCAATAAAAGACTCGAAATCTATCTTGTCATCTGCTTGTTTGGCTGACTAATATTCACAAAATGCTAGTAACAAAGTTTGATGAAGAAAACTGCGAGCTAATTATTCTTCGAACAATTCATAAAAACATTGAGAATTGGCCGCTGAGCATGAGAAACCATAATAAACTACTCCATCGCAACTTCTTCCGTCACAGTAAAACATGTCAATATTATCGGGCCAAATGATATCCAGTAGGATTTTGTGAAGGAGGTTACTAATGAAAAACATGCCTCTGTAACTGGAGAGACACCAGTAGCAATTCGGCCGACGAAGCACCGTTTGCCATCTTAGTTCTTAAGCATGTCGAAAAGGCAGTCAGACAAGATAGACCTTCACGGCTTGCTTGAGATGGTGCTGTTCAGGCCAAACTGGAGCTCTGGTTTGAAAGTCAGCGATGAGCAGCCTAATTATTTATCATCGAATGATAGGATTTATACTGCAGAACAAGGGAAATAAGCGAGATTTTGCATAAGCTTAAGCTTCGGAGCAAGAAATTGCTTTTGAAAAATGGTCGTGCACTATGGCGAGGTTGTGCACTTGATGCAGCTGTTTAGATGTAAGAATAGTTGTCAGTCACCTGACTGAAAAAAGATTATTGTGCACAGTTTTCAGTCGAAGATTGCACCTTCAGAAATTGCTGCGCTGCACAGCACCGCAGGAATCTCTCAAAATCCCTAACCAGAGAAGCCATTTCCATTTTTCCAGAATAATCTTGTTGAAAGCATCAAAGTTTGCATGTGAAACGTGACCAGTAGTGGAAGGGCAAAAAATTGCTATCTGTGAGGGACAGCATGATGAAGCGAAGGAAGATTGGCGCTCTGCGTCGTTTACCTTTGTTTACAATGGATGAGTATCGCATACCTGGGAGTGTTGTCATCGTCACAGAATACTATCACTTGAATAGCCTCTAAAAAGGTGTTACGCGTACGTTTTTAAGATGAAAGCTGAAGACACGCAACTTAGAATACCATTTAGCATTGCCGTGTTTGCCATGGGATGTGCTCCACTAACATGTGGTGAATTTTTGCTGACCTCCTCTTCCATAAAGAGATGTGTTATCCGTCGCCATTCATAGCTTAATATCGCATTTTTTGCATGTTTCATATTTCCGAAGTTTTAGGGTGCACTTGCAAAA